TGTATGGACTTATTTACATCTGATCATTGATGAGCATGAAGATTAGGGGAGGAGTGATGCAGACCTCAAGTCATGTGGAACACGAAGTTGAATAACATGATTGCAGAAGCTGGACCGTTGACTCTTTAAAACAAGGTGGCCATGTGGCTGACTTCTCTGTCCTGCAATAGTTCTGGGACAGCTGTGAGAATGAGTTGTAGGGGCTAACAGCTCCCACTGCAGGGAAAGGAGGAGGGTAGAGAGCTTGTGTCCAGATTGCTGGAGGTATCTGGTAGGGAACACCATATGTGGGGTTCACAGCTCTGTCAGGTTCTGGCCTGGCTCCCTCCTGTGGCTGGTAGGCCACACCAGGCCGAACTGAGTCCCATGGCTTAAGAACCATGGGCCCAGGCCTGTTCTTCAGACCTTGAAAGAGACACAAGCAAAGGATGCTGTTAGTGACTGTGACATCGGCACAGTGACTTAACACAGAGCCACCCTGATGTCCCATAGCTCTTCATGTAATTCCTCTTCCCTAACCTGTTCCCAGTTCCCAGACCCAACTCCCATCTCCTCCTCTGCACTGTCTCTGGCTGCATCCTTTGCTTGTCTGCCCCAGGCTCTACTTCCCCAGGATCCACATAAAGGGGTGCAGTGAGAAAGCTCCTTCTCGGGTCACAGACATCTTAGGGTTCATGTCCTACACATGGGAGCAGAGTATCAGTGGCAAAGGGCCTTGCAATTCATAGCTGAAATACACAAGGGGAAGTCACTGACCATTCCTACTGGGTTTCCTTGGGACCTCATTTCCAATTCCTTGCTGTCCCTTACCTGGGGACTGTATCTTCTGTCTTTGGGGTGAGGAGGCAACAGAATAAGCTGGAAAACAGATGATGAATTTGCCTCCTCACCCTTCTCCAGCCCCTTCTGTGTTTCTTCTTGGAGGCCGTGGCTACCTCCTGGGACTGGTCCTTACTAGATATTGGTGGTGACTCTTCAACTTGTATTTCGTTGTCATTTTCATATCCAGTGTTCTCACTCTGGGGAGCATCCAGGATGTCGATTGTATCATGTGCTCTCTCACTGCATTGTGCATCAGTTTTCTTCAGGACTCCAGATGTGCTGATGCTAGCAGGGACCTCAGCACCCTGCTGTGGTCCTGGCCTCCCTGTGCTGCTGTCTGCCCTGAACCAGAGCCCTTCGAGGAGTGTGATGCTGAGCATGGTGTCACTGCCCGTCTCCTCACTCTCAGCCTCATTAGCATCTTGATGTGATCCTGGCATCCCTGTGCCACAGGTGTCTTCCTGGAACCACAGCCCATTGAGGGATATGACACTGAGCATGGTGTCACTGCTCGTCTCCTCGGTCTCCGCCTTGTCAGCATCATAAGCACTGGTGTCTGTCAGGCAGGAGAGGTAATCCTCAGATGTGTCACTGTCATCAGATGAGGCAGTGCTGTCTGTGACCTCTGTTGTTTTATTCTTGATGTAGGCAGACACAGGAGAAAACCGTGGGGCAGAATTCCAAGGCCAGCTCATGTCCAGCAGCTTGTACAAATCTGGAGAGCTGGACCTAGAGGAGCTCTTGCTTTCTGCCACTTTATTTATCTCCTGCCCTTTGGTGTCTTCAGATGCCACGAATGTGGGCATGGCGGGTTCACTCCTTGCCCTCCTTAGGGTAGAACGGGCAGTGGGAGGACCTGTAGGATTCTTGGGAGAGTGGGTCTTTGGGACATGCCATATTTCTCCTAGGATGTTACCACGTTTTCTCCCGCTGATCACATTGATTTTTGTCGGGGCATCATTAAGCCTATTTTTTTCTATGAGTCCCAGGGTTTCTTCGGCCATGGGGCCTAAGCAACACATAGCATCTACAATGGTGGAGATGGACAGCCTGGAACCAGTTTTTCTGGATGGTGATGAAAAATCTCCATCCAAGAGATTCATGAACGGAGATTCTTCCTTCATGTTCACCACCGTGACAGGTGGGGTTTGGACCACCACAAAATGCTACAAGTAAAAAGACACAAATATGCTCAGGAGAGAAGTTTGTGGCTCTAAATTATAGTTCATGAAAATCATAGCTACCTCAACATCTTAATTATAATATTGGGATCAGAGGTTTAAATAAAGCCAACCCAAACCCAAAGTAATTATGAGAAAGCATAAGAAAGATCAGGGTTGAAGTAAGTGGTTGCTTAGAGATTGAAACAAAGACCAAAGAAACAAAGATCAAATGAAAGATGTGGTGATTTGAAAGGATGAAGAAGTCTGACAATCCCTTGTCACCCAGAGACATGATAGGAATCAGTGAAATGTAAGACAGGACACAATGTATGAAGGAAAGACAAGTAAGATCTAGGGCATCATGTATATTTGTGTGTGTGTGTGTGTGTGTGTGTGTGTGTGTGTGTGTGTGTGTGTGTGATATCAATTAACTCTGGAGAGATGATATTCATGAAAGAAGGTGATTTCTTGAGCCATGAAAGAGTCACCAGCATTGATAAGATGTTATTAACTCTACTTAACCACCTGCTGCCTGCCAGCTACTTCACTGAGTGTGTGATGAATAATTATGGATGCTACAAACCATGCAAAGGGATCAATTTAGGGATAAGATGGAAAGAGTAATGCAATTTTTGCTAACAAGGACATCCTAGGACAGCAGATTGCATGATGGACTTACCTACTGACCTCACAGTATAATGGAGACAGATACTACTCAAGACCATTCCAAACTTAGTCTTAAAATCTAGTATTCCCCTGAGGTCAAACACGTAGCACACACACACACACACACACACACACACAGAGGAAATACACAGTTGCTGGTGCACAAGTGCACACTACGTACACATAATGCTACAAATAGGTACATGCATGCAAACACACAGATTCACGCACTAACACACACAAAGACACACACACACAGACACACACACACTCATGCATGCACACAAGCTTGACTACACTCCAATGTCTTTGATGAACTTTCAATTGTACATCTGTTATCAGCTTGATAATTCACACAAAGTTCAAAAACACATGACACAGTGAGTTCAACAGGGGTTCCTAGGATAATTCCACAGGAAATCTATTGGACAACAAGCATGGAAGGAGGTCCATGCTTAGACCGAAAAAATGAATTTGTGTCATTTTCTGAAATAGAAATAGACATGAGGCTTTTGTCTGCAACCTCAGGTCCAGAGAGATGGTGATGCTGACTAGAGCCATGGAGCAGTAGGTGGACCCTTAACTGAAATAGAACCCTTTGCAGGACATAAAGGGGGCAGCTGTCATTTAACAGAGCAGAGGAAATGATCCCAGATCACTATGCAATTCCAGAAGTGTTACAGAGGAATGACTTAGATCACATACTTAAGATTTAAAACAAGAAAATGAAACCAAAGTAAAATATGGCAAAAGATTTTTAAGCAAACAATTAAAGTGAACACATAAACATAAACCCATGCCTCAACCAAAAGCACTGAATGCATGAATCAAAACGACAAACAAAAAACAAAATCCAGCCAAAAAGAGGAAATCTCCCCATGTCATGGTCCAAGAGATTTGGAGAATCCAGTTGATCAGGACAAATGGAGAAGACTAACTGCTTTCTACCCCCCCAAGAGTTGCTCTGCAGCATCGACAAGCCCCAGCACTCTGCAGGGCTTATGTGAATCAATTTCCATAACTTCTCACCAAGGCATTTTGTGATGTCACACTAAGGAACAGTCTAGTAGCAGCTGGGAATAACCCAAAGATGTTGCTCTATCCAGCTCCAGGGAATGCATATCTTTGGTCAAAATTGTGAGCAAATCCCTAAGAAGATTATCTTAAAGGGCAGTGGGAAACTCTTATTCTCTCTCTCATGCTCTCAGAGGACAGGCAGCTAAGCCAGATGAGAAGATGGGGACTTGGCAAGATGGGAGGAAGCAGCCGGGTACATGACTTTGATGGGCTCCTCCTGCATCCAGTCACCCAATTCCTCCTTTTGCTTCCCACATCCCTGGGCTTTTAGGTCTTCCCGAAGATCACATCCTGCTAAGTTCACATCCTGCTAGAGCCCAAGCATCTAGATACCAGAGAAGTTTTGAGACCACTCATACCAAGCCTGAAGAGGACACTTGGACAGAACCTAGGAACCAGGTAACATAATAACAAGGTAACAAGTGCTTTAGTAGCAAGGTAGACAGGCTGAGGAATCTAGTGTTGACCTTTTTAGGGACACAGGTATGGAGTAGTTAAATAAAGAAACCATGCCCCAATGCCCTTTGCACTGAAAGAATCCTGACTACTACCGACCTCATCTCTACACTTAGGCTATTCAAATCCTTTATCTGAGATGCTCATACAGATGAGCATCTAAAGGATGGCAGTTCTCCCTGACCCTGGCATGCTCTAAACAAATGGGCTGTTGCTCAGGATACACATGACATGATTTTCGTTGTTTTTCAGGGTATTGTGGTGTAGCATAGCAAGTGTGGAAGACAGTTAACAAGACAGATGAGCGTTTAAGAACTTCAGAGCCTGTAGGAGATGATAGCAGAGCAGATGTGATAAACATTCTCATGAAGTGTCTTGTTTCTTACAGTTTGTCCACTCTAACAACTTTTATAACCTGAAAAATTAAATTTATAAATATCAAAGAATCATGCTGAAGAATAGAAATATGGGGCTAGTAAAAAGAAATTGAATGGAAAGCACTAATTCAATCAAGAAACAATTAAGCGATGTAAATTAAACCAACAAACCAGGAAGCAAACTCACATTTGGCTGTCAAAGCAGATGAACAGTGTCTGTTTTTCAGAGATCAGTAATACCAATGTCTGAGTCCTATAACTCTGCACCCAACCAAGCAACAGTTTCTCTGCAGAGAAGCCCCAGCCAGTGCCTCATGTGGGCAGGGTCTGCAACTTCTCACAATGGTCCTGTGAGGTCACTAGAGGAAACAACCAATCACAGCTGTCCACAAAAAAAAAAAAAACCCAAACCAGAAAGTCCTCACTTTCTGTCTCCGAGGACTGCATTAGTGTTCTTATAACCATGACCAATTCCTCGAGAAGCAGCAGTGTGTGGGTGCCGCACAGGTTTTGCTATGGCTTAGGTTCTCAGAGGACTTGGGAACCCATGTCTGGGGACTTGGGAAGATGAGTCTGAAGCAGATGCTTACATGGGTTTGGCAGGTCCCCTTGCCCTAATGACCCAATTCCCCCTGCTAGGTTCCACCACATGTGGTTTTACAGCCTCCTGATCGCACTCCTGCTGGAGACCAAGAACTCAGAGCCTCTCCCTTTCTAACCATGAGGAGGACATTTGGACTTCATCAGCAAGAACAACAAGAATGGACTCAGTCAGCTTTGTGCAGCCTGGGTTAGAGACATGGTTATGGACTAGACAGTGAACACACGGGCTTCTCCAAGGTTCTTGTCACTCAGAGCCTCAAATTCTCTAATGACACCAACTACTGCAGACCTTTTCATCTATACAGTCATGATACCATTCCTGTTCCTTACACTAATATTTACGGGCATCCAAAGAAGGCCAGCCTGTCTGTGACACTGGAGGCCATGAGGAAACGGTTGTCCCTCAAGTTTCCCCAGTACTGTTTGTGTCAGGAGTTGTGTGGTGGGCAGGGGAAAGTATAACCACAGGGAAAGGCCGACGGATGTAACAAAGTGGGTGGATATGCCCTGAGCCCATGAAAAAAATCAAATTCTTTAACTTTTACAGCCAGTAGAGATTAACAGAAATTTTGGTAAAGAAATAAACCAAATGAACAAAATTCCAAAGATAAATGGATGGAGAATAAGAGAAAATGGTTGATAATAAATTGAGCTGAAGCACAGGCACAAACTAAATCTAAGTAAACAATACGTACAAACCTAATCCACTGGTCAGCACACTCACGATGTTCAGGTCAGTGGTGATCACAGTTGTTCAGTGTCAAAACAGACAATACGATATAAAGCTCTCACGACCAAAGTCTTGAGTCAAGTCCTCTGCAGCCAGCCAGCAGCTTCACTGCAACAAAAAGACAAAATCCAGGCCCCAGTCGTGCCTTACATGGGTGGTGGCTCTCATTCCTCACAATGGCTCCTTGTGAGCTCACCCACCCATCGACCAATCACAGCTAGACAGAAGCCGTCATATCATGTTTCTAGTGTCTTGCTCCAGGCTCCTCCCAAACCTGTGCCAACAGTCTGCTTCAGAGAGGCCCAGGTTACTTTGGCTCAGGCTTCCAGAGGATCAGGCACAGCCTGGTGCTGGGCTCTGCTGGTGGCAGTGGCAGCAGGGCCTGAGGCAACTGCTTTCACTCCATCGACTCTCCTCACGCTCAAGCTTATTTAAATATGTGTCACCTAGGCTGATCCTAAAATTCATTTCTGTCAAAACCACGATCCAGGTTCATCCTACAGAATGTAGTCTCACTGGTTCATATGCCTGCACACTTTCCTGAAATACTCAGAAAATGTAACTTTTTCTTTTCTTTCAGTTTCTGTTTCTGCACACTTCCACTCAAATTTTACTCCTTCTCTAAGATCTCCTTCTTCCTTCCCTGTGCCTGTTTGTCTGTCGTATGTCTGACCTCCATGGGTAAAGGGAATATGTCCTCTCCACCATTTCTCTCTCCTCCATTACCTGCTATTTGGTACTTTCCTTTTACTAGAATAAAAATTTCCTCCAGTTAAAAAAAAAAAAAAGAATCCTACATTCTTATCCATGTTGCATTTCAGGATTAGATGGAACAAAACATGACTTTTTCAGGAGGCATCATTATAATTGCTGATTCTTCAGATACATGATGCCTGACCTGGGAATCTATACCTTTTGTTTTTTCAATTTCTTCCTAGTCTTATGCCCAATGAAAATTTTAATTTATCTTTAGTACAATGAAAAGATATTTAATATTTATTGTATATTGCTATATGCAATTAAAATGCATGTGTGCATAGGTAAATGTGCCTTAAAGATATTTAAAGTCCCTGAGGTTGTTGATGTGAGGGCTTAGTTCAGTGGTACTCAGCCTTCCTCCTGTTGCAACAATTTAATACAGTTCCTCATGTTATGCTGTCCCTAACTATGAAAGTATTCTCATTGCTACCTTGTAAGTTTGCTGTTATTTGAGTCGTCATAAAAATACCTGAGTGTTCTGGTGGTCTTGATTGACCCCTGTGAAAGTGTCATTTGCCCTCCCAGGGGCCATTACCCACAAGTTAAGATCCCAGGATTGCTGAGTAAAGACAATTGATGTTGAGCCTAACAATCAGAAAGACGTCTTCCGGACCCACAAGATTTAAGAAGAGTATTAACTCCCACAAGTCATCGAGTCTCTCTCTCTCTCTCTCTCTCTCTCTCTCTCTCTCTCTGACACCCACACCCACCCACACCCACACACCCCCACACACATACTTTTAGTGTTTTTGCCTGTACATATGTATATTTATTGCCTGTATGCCTGGTACGTTCAGAGTTGGGTTCAATCATTAGATCCCCATGGACTATCTTCATCGTAAACTATCATGTGGGATGTGGGTCTAAGGATTGAACCTGAGCCAACTCTCCAGTCCCACTCTAAACTTAAAAATCTAATAAAATAGGGCTCTAGGCAGGTGGTTCATCAGTGGAGAGCACTTGTTTCTTTTACAGAACACTTGGATTTGATTATAGCATCCATGTGGCAGCCATCTGTAATTCCACATTAAGGGGACCCAATGCTTTCTGCTGATCTCTGATGTCATCAGGCACATATGGAGCTTGCACACACACACACACACACACACACACACACACACACACACACGCACGCACACACACAAATACATAAACACACACTAACTCTTCTACTAGCATTACACGTAGTAGAGGAGTAAAACTGAGCATGCTTAGGCCTGCAGCATGATGAAAGCTTTTACAATATTCAGTTTTGAAAAAATTATAAAAGGAATGTTGTCTCAATGTAATTAATCTGCACAGCTGACACGATTGTGTTGGACTTCTTACTGTGCTTTCTCTTAGTACATGCTAATGATACATAATAATGAGTTTCGGTATGACATTGTCATACATGTGAATGAGGTTTTTCTTACTTTTCATTCGCCTTTTACTCTCACTTGTCCCTTTCTCCTTTCTGCCATCAACTAGTCTCTCTTCTACTTTGTTGCATTTTTAATCATGGTTGATCATCCAGTAAGTTTGATTAGACTAATTGAATGGGGGTTTATTTACAGGAGTACGGGTTGTATGCTGGGAGCAGTATTTCTGCAGGAACTGTCTCTTTCATCCCTAATATCCATCACCCACCTAGAGATGCCGAGGAAGGGATGGAGCCTCCTGAGCCTCTGTGTCCTAGCAACCCTTCATTGCCTGAACACCCTCAGGATTTTTTGTATGAACAGAGTCTTTCCAGATTTCTGGATTTCAGTTGCAGAGCCTCCTGTTTCCTTTACTTCAACAAGAGAACTGGATTATCAGGTATGTGCTCCCACACCAGGCTCACACCTACCTTGTAAATAATCCTGGGGATTGTGTGTAATACACTGTCACCTGGATGTTCCTATGGATGAGGCAGCTTTGGGTGCAATAGAGGAGGATGGGATAAAACTCTGTGTCTTCATACAGTTGTCTTTGGTTCATAAGCAGGTACCTGAACCAAATCTGTTTTGAAAGGCAGCCATTCCGGAGCACATTAGAGCTTGCCTATAATGTTGAGAGCCTAGGAAACTGCAGACAAGAGTCTCAGTCTGAGGGAAGTGTGGCTTCCTTAGAATGGCTCTGACTTGGGGAAGTGGTGTAAATTTGTCAGAGTTCACAGTAGAATGTCTGGGGATAAGAAGCATAAAGGCAGGCTGGGCATTGGTGGCACATGCATTTATTCCCAGCACTTGGGAGGCAGAGGCAGGCATATCTCTGTGAGTTCAAAGCCAGCCTGCTCCACAAGAGGGAGTTCTTTCTTTCTTTCCTTTTTATTATTATTTTTATTTAACTTTTTATACTTGTTACTCTCAGTTCCCTCTCCCTACCATCCTCCCCCGGCCCCCATCCTCCCAACCCTCCTCCCCACTCCATCCCCCCTCTGCTCCCCAGGGAGGGTAAGGGCTTCCATGAGGGATTTTCAGAGTCTGTCCTATCATCCCGGGCAGGGTGTAGGCTCTCCCCCCATGTTTCCAGGCTGAGAGAGCATCCCTTCATGTGGAATGGGCTCTCAGAGTCTATTTGTACGCCAGGAATAAATACTGATCTATTCTCCAATGTCCCATAGATTGCCGAGGCCTCTTCTCTGACACCCAGGTTGGGGGAGGGTGTCTGGATCAGTCCTGTGCTGGCTTCTCAGCAATCAGTCTGGGGTCCCTGCATTCCCCCTTGTTTAGGTCAGCTGCCTCTGTGGGTTTTGCCAGTCTGGTCTTGATTCCTTTGCTGGTAGCTCCTGTTTGCAACTGGGTTCCAGGAGTTCAGTTCGGTTTTTAGCTGGGGGTGTCTGCCTCTGCTTCTGTCAGCCACTGGATGAGGGTTCTAGGATGGCACGTAAGGCATCAATCTCATTATCATGGGAGGGCATTTAAGGTAGCCTTAATGGCCATTGGTGTCACTAGTGCCAGATCTCTCCTCCAACTTATAATGGCTCCCTCTATTATGGTATCTCTCATCCTTCTTTCCTCTATTCTTATCTTGGCTCAATAAGAGCTAGTTCTAGGACAGGCTCCAAAGATACACAAAGAAACCCTGTCTTGAACCCCCACCCAAAAGAGGCACACATGTCTTCACACACACCCTGCCCTACTTCTCTCTTGGCTCAACTTCTGGTGGAAGGCCTGAGGACTATGTGGCAGGTCCAGAGGAGGAAATATGGAAGTCACACTTGGCGTCGCGTCAAAACTACTCATCTGGGAATGCCAGGGTCACTGTTAAAAAATAGGTTTTCGCATAGCTAATACTCCAGCCCGGAGCTCACCACTCCACTCTGAATCCATATAAATTCAGAGCAAGGTTTCATCAATATGGTTATCACATTAACTTTGCCTTTGATTCTGATTTCTGGGGCATGAAAGCTGAGCTTTTGCAGTTTTCCTTGTGCTGAATGGAGTCCCTGATGTGTTTCTGAGGAATTAGTGAACTCTCAGAACAATTGAGGAAGCTGGGGTTTTAGGAGAGAACGGGATCATGTGGCAACTATTTCTGAGGTAAAAAAAAACACAAAATAAAAGAAAACAAAAATGTAAAAGGGTTAGACTATGATTCTTTGTTCATCCATCTTGTGCTGGAGGGAATGAGCACACTCTGGGGTAGACATGAACATGAGTAGAGACTTGGATGGACACTGGATTCTGAGTGCTGAGGGAAGAGAGTTCACACTGGGCCTAGGGTTCAGGTTCAGGCTGTGGTTGCTGTAGTAGAGCATGAGTTGCACCTGCATGAGGTGGGTAGGGCTGTCTCTTTGTCTCCTTCTGTCTGCAGTTGACTTCACTAAGGAGGAGGAGATGTTGAACAAGAGAATAATGGAGTACTGGGCCAACTTTGCAAGACCTCCTATGGTTTTGTCTCCATCCAGGGCTCCCATGTGCATATGCCTCATTAGCACACACGGGTCCTCAATTACACCATAGCTTTCCTAATCCAGGGCACACTTAGACAGATACCTTCTAGCTCTCAGTTACTGCTCATCCCACAGTGATCTGGTTGGTGAGTCATAGCATGGTGATGCAGTTCTTTAGATTTTCCCTCTGAGAGGGAGACAAAAAACCAGACATCTTCCCTTGCCTCATATGAACCAGACACTAGTGAGTGACACTTGTATTCTACATCAGGACACCAGTTCATCTGTCCCCTAGGCTCCTGGGACTGCTCATCTATTACTCTGACACACATCAAGGGATCAGGCCTTGGGTGAGAGTGACCTCACCCTTTCATCTTGGTGTCACATCCACAGGAACCCCAACAGTAAGGGTCTACCCTACTGGCCTGAGCTGGTTCATGATGATCAGTACCTGAAGCTGGACATTCAGCCTGCTGTGGCCAAGGCCTGAAGGCTAGAAAGCTGCA